ATAATAGGTTTTCCATAGAAGCCATCATCCAATAAGACTTCATATGGATCAAATGAGGTCAGGCGTTTGTCACCGAAAATGAGGCGATTGTCCACGTAGCGGACATGTTTTATGAACAGGTGATGATTGGAGAGAAGTTGGTGGAAGGTGTGGTACCAAATCTGTTCACTGATGGAGACGACCATGAGACATAGGGCAGGGGAGAGAGGACTGCCCATGGGACTGCCACGGCGTTGACGGATGCATCGTTGTCCCAAGGCGAATGTCTGCATATGCAAGGCTGATTTGATCAAATCTGGCACATCGCCGATGACAATCTTCCGAGTGACATTGAGGCGACGAAAGGTACGGCCTTTGATGATGTCTCCTGGATTGTTGGACTTTCCAGGGTAGACAGAGAAGACCTCCTCATCGTAGACATTCATTTTGGGCCGGAGAAAGTCTAGGAGCATGAACCAGGAACGAAGGAATCTGTCTTGATCAATACTGACTGGTGAAGAAGCCTGCCAAGTCTTGATTGACCAAAATCAAATCGGCGTCGACAGGCGCCGATCTCAATATCGAGAGCAGAGTGTACACATCACCAGTAGCGAAATGATTTGGACATGCCGTAGGAATAAGCTGGAAAATGAGTCTGGCAAGAATGTTGAGCATTGGTCTGAATGGGGAGTCGACAAAGGAAATAATCGGCCTTCCGCTGCGCAAGTCTTTCTTCCTTTTGGCCAGAATATACCCAGATGGGAGCTGGCGACCCGATCCCACTGCCCACGGATATGCACGTCCGTGTTGGCGTTGAAGGGATTCAACCAGAGAGGTCACGATTGAGGATGGTTCATTGGGTAGGGATTCAAAGATGGAAGGGTCTTGGGGTGTCTTCGCAATGGATTCGTAATAAATGCACGGGCAGAATATTCGAAGAGAGGAAGCATGTTTGTCCTCACAGTGAAAGATGGCACCATCAAAGGTGTCTTGAAGACGTCCAATTGATTGCTTTGTGATGTGATTTGTGATCTGTGACAAGTGTTGGTGCCACAGCTGGTGACAGAGGTCGGTGATATCGGACTGGGGCATGGAAGGAAGACCATTTCGTTTGGTCCAATTCCTCAAACCAAGACGCAGTTGGTTATGAAATTCCTTCTTGGACGGGAAGACTTTGTTGGCCAAGGATCCTTCCGCGATGACAGCAAGGTCTGGTTGGAGATGGGAGTGAAGAAGAGAGCCGGGAAGGACCCAGTGAGAGTCCGAAGGATTGAGTGCCGCACTCTTGTAACAGGACCAGGATTTGCAACAACATGTGGCTGGGCTCGTAGTCGGCCAGTCGTCAATGGCTTGTTTGTGATTGCACAGGATGTCCAAGACTGCCGCATGTTTGATGAAGACCGTCTTGAAGGAAGGAGTGTGACATGGTACTTGGTGAGCCATCATCCTGACGTGCCATTGTCGCAGAAACTTCTTCAGCGTTTGCTGAAGGTCTGGAGCGAGGCACCATGGGGCCCGTAGAGCTGTTGCCTTGGGTGCTGGTTTCCCACGCCACCATTGGATTGAAGCATCGATGGCATTCAGGGAAAGGGTACGGAATGGCTCCTGGGTGTTGTTGGCCAGTCGTCTAAGAGCGTAGCATAAGGTCAATCCACCATCATTGGATCTAAGCATCTTTGTCTGCTCGAACCGTGCCTTGGTATTTGAACCTAAGGCGTGGATGATTGTCCAGAGTTCCAGACGGTTTTGGAATCTGGAAGAGGTCAAAACCTGACGTACCAGTTGTGGAGTGAACTTGTGTTTGGCACGCCGCCATAGAGTCGCAAGGCCAAATTGAGCATTGGTGTTAAGAAGGGGTTTTTTGAGAAGGCCCTTCTTTGGGTGGAAGAATTGGCAAATGAAAGGATCGTTGAGGCGAGGTTGCCATTCTTGAATCAGTGCCATTTCCAGGCTGCGGTAGTCGCTTCTGTCTGTATAGATTGGTATAGGTGCCCAAATATACAAGTTGTCGTGTTCTTGCCAGTAACGAAGTGCCAGTTCAGCTTGCACAAGTCTCTCATTGGTGAGTTGAAGGTATTTCCTGGAGCGGCTATACTCTCTGTCCATGATATGGTGCATTGCAGAGCCCACGTAGAATTTGGGTTGCATGGATTTGATGTGAGTGAAACGAATATAGACGCTCTGAGGTTGGAAGAATTGTCTGGAAAAGAGGTTGTGGGAATGTAGCGTGGAGCCCCACAGGTGTTGAAGGTCCGCACACCCTTCCAAAATTGACTTCAGCTTGGGATTAGGTCGGTGACCATGAAGAATTGTCAGGAGCATCATTCGAGTTTGAATGATGCGGAATCCTTGAAAAAGATGTATGCTGTAAGTCATGGTGAAGGGAGTCAAAATGTAAAGAATGAGAATCATCGAATGGAGAATTTGCAAATGGGATTGAAGCACCTTGTGCTTGAGTTTCCGACGCAAGAGCGGAGCTAGTCAATTGGTAAGGCTGATGCCCGCTGTCATAGCCCGGAGGAGGTTCAACGCATCATAGTTTTTTCCCATGAGATTGACTGGGATTCCCATCATGACTGCCACGCGTTCCACAGTCTCAAGTGCATCAGCTGGTTGCTTGGCCCACCATTCCTCCGTCTTGGCAATATTGTCGGTGAGCACTTTGCGTTTTGCCTCGGAAAGTGCGAGTTCTTTCAGCCACTTGTTGAAGGCTCTGACTGCAAGAGTGGGTGGCATGTTTTGAGTGAGCCACGGATTGACACTGGTGGTGCCGACCAGGAGGGATGAAGGATCAAAGCCCGGTGGTGCAGGAGGAGCTGATTG